CTTGTTAATTCCAACTTGGGGAATTTGCCAAGGTTTGCTGGGAAAAATCAATTTTTCATTGACTTTCTACTTCATTTTTATTGTAAATTCTTCGGTTATACTGCATGTCTTGGTATCTGTCATTGGCTTATAGTCTCCAGAAGTTTTTTCCAAGTGATCACTAAAGGAACATTTAAAATACATGCAGATGTGTAATGCATGGTTCACACCATCTGCACTTATGTCAATGAGTCACACAGCACGCAATATTTCACATCATCTTTGTGTTCTGTATACGCGTCAAGAGTTGCTTTGTACAGGTCACAACTTTTTAAATCATGCACTTACGTTTGTCCAAAAACAGAGTGCTCCTGAAGCATTATGTTTATATTTAAATTACATGCATGTTCTATCATCAACTATAACATTGAATAATGATGACTTTCTTATTTTTAGACAGATATATAGCAGAAGAACAAATGGAATGGATTTTGCATATTTTCTGAAGTATATGTGCCACAAGCATCAGAAAGAATCTCAGAAGCTCTTAAAAACTTAGGGCAACTATGTTGCAGTAAAGGTATCCTTTGTACATGCCATGTAGGGCATGACCCTTCAGGTAATCCAAGAAGTAAATGCAAAAAATTAAGATATATTGTTCTCAAGTACTAAATACAGCGAGGTTCAAAAACATATACATCTCAATCAATGTATGAACACAGTATCACATGAAATCTACTACTGGCTAAAGCACTTGCTGGTTAATTCAACAAAATTTGTTTCATATCTGAAACATAGTTGGCACCATATTAGGTTCAAATGACAGAGCAGTGATACAAAAGACTTGGTCTAACGTCACAGACTGTCAAGTTTCTTCTGAGAAACAAAAGCGTATCAAGCCAATACGGAAAACGGCGATGAGTGCTAAGACAGGAAAAGCATGGCACATTCTGAGAGCACTTAGTTTCCCAAACATTTTTAGAAGACTTGGGCTCTCATGATTTGGCTGGAGATTGGGTCTAAAAACTTTTAGAAGCATCTGTTTTATTTTGTAGCCATGAGAATCACACCGTAACTCCTTTGCTCCTCTTGCATTATTTGAAATCCGAGATTAACACCAAAAAGAGTTCATAAAAAATTAAAACTTACTAGAGATGTTAGTGAGGATTTACAAACCAAGCTTAGTAAAGATGCTTGCAAGACAATACAATCTTGAAAGGGCATCTCCTGTGATGGATGGATCACTCCAGTCACAGATTATTGGAGATTCAGTGAGTCATACAGATATAGCCGAGTTCCTCGAAATCAGGAGGGAGTGAGAACTGAGCAAATACTGATAAGTAGGAGGTAAAATTGGGCACAAAATACACATTAGCACATTGATCTGACTTCAGAACAATTCATAGAAAATAGAATTAAATATTTGTGGTAGTTGAAACACCAGTTTAGATCCCCGTACCCTGGATTGCAATGTCTGGATTTGGCTCTCACTGCCAGCTGCTGACGGCAGCTTCCCACTAAAAGCAAATCCAGGAGGAGGTTGCAGGAGATGGCTCAAGTAATTGGATTCTTGTCACTCACACAGCACACCCAGATTGCACGTCTGACTCCCAGCACAGCTTAGACACCATCATTGGGCATTTGGACATGAACCAGAAATGGGAACACTGATTCTCAAACTGATAAATAAATACTATTTTAACAAAAGAGATATATGCTGGTGCCCCAAACTGTGCAATCTAGAAACACCCATATGCTCTACTAGTCTAAAATTCAACTTTATGGAGCCTGACCCACCAGAAACAGGGAGCAGCATGTTACACAATCATTATGGTCAGGGACCCATTACAACAGTTCTCTTTTAAGTATAACCTAATAAATATCACCTTGCACTGAAGTGAGATGACCTTTTTCTTCTCCTTTGTTTTTCTGTAGTGACACAGGAGGTTAAAGTAGCAATAAATGGTGTACACACTTCACTTTACAAGCACGATTTTATATAACTAGGGCTCAACAAGTTAGAAAAAAAAATAGAACACAATTTTGGAGTACGTACCTCCCTATAATCATGTTTTGTTGAAACATCTAGATAAACATGTAGAATTCAAGTTCACAGGGTGTATGACCACACACATGACATAGAGATTTGAAACAGCTGTCACTAGAACCAGCGCTGAAATCCTACCAGAAATGTCAGGTTAGAGGTCAACTCTTCTCTGAGTGCCTGGTAGTGGGTAAAGGCCCTGAACCTTTGTCCTGTTGGTGTCCCAATCCTAAATTGTGATCGCAGTACCCAACTTATTGTAGCAGTTTGTAATGCTGTGTAGTTTGTGTTGACATGGGTTGAATCTAGAGTAAACAGTTCATCGCATTCTTAACAAAATGCCTGTGTGCCTCCAAGTATAATAACAGATTCTATGATCTCACTGTTTGGATCTCAATGGATCTGAAACACCAATGGCAAATAGAAACAGTGGGCCAGGATATATACATGTCCATTTCTATACATGAGTTGGTTCTTTAACGTTGATTTTGCACAAACTAATGGCAATAGATCATCTTCATTATCTGCCATTCATATAGCAAATCCTCAGCAACTTTATGATCTTTAAACTAGCTTTAAAGTAATCGGGTTGTTCTATGGCATACATTTTTTACACTCTTCAGTAAAAATCGTAAGTTGCTTTTCTTAAGTATAAATAAGAATTTTAAAAATTTTTCCACTTTTTCTCCTGTAGTAATGAGGATAAAAAGAATGAAATATTTAATCCAAAAATCAAGAATGAGCAGTATCCTCATTTAGTAAAACAAAATCACTTTCATGTTAAGCTTTTAATAGTAGTAAGTTGGCACAGGAGTTATTAGTAAGCAGGTATTTCAGGAGGAAAATGACCTTTGAAACATATCCTGTGTGTAAGAGTACATGGCTAGGAATGAGGAAGACAACTCCCAGAGGAGAAAGCTGCCCGATTTCTTATGTCTGACTGTCAAAAACACCTCCCCTCACTTCACCTCTTCACTGAGGGCCTGATTGTTCTGTGTACAGAACTTAGTCCAACCTGAATATACTTATTATGAATGAGCATTACAGTAAATGTTACAAGATCCCAAATTCTATCACCACAAAATTTTTAAAGCAAATATTCACCATAAGGAAAATACTCATAAACTCTGGCTTATGAACCATACCTATCCTTGGTTGAGTTTTAAAAATATATTAGCGCAAACTAATTTTGTATATTTTTTTCAAGTCGTTAACAGTCATTGCTGCAGTGGTTTTTAACATTGAACTGTGATGTCTCACAAAACAAACATATTTTACATCCTGGTTTTCTCTCTCTCTCTATTTACATACATATTTATAAAATGTTTTTCCATATAAATATGTTTTTATAAAACATCAATCCTTATTACATTCTTACAGTCTGGTATTTTATATTCTAATTATTTTTGGAACATATGTGATTACATTAATTAGCTTTGCAACTCATTGCTATACCATGAACAGCCAAGCACTTCAGAAAAGATAGATGGGTATTTTCTCCAAGAAAACTGGGAATGAAAGCAGGATATAAAGGACGACAGAAACAGCATAGGGAAAGCAAAGAATGGCTGCACAATATTAAAAAAAAATCATCTGCAGCACATTTGAAATGGTTATTACCAAATGCAATGAAAGAGCAATAAGTATAAAAGGAAAAACGTCAGAAAATTGGTTCAAATATTCAACCAACTATATATTTTTTCCCTCCCTTATGTGTGAATAGTAATGCCTTCAAAGGTCACTCATTACATTTGTCAGATGCATACACTATGCCAGGCCAAAGGAAAGTCAAGGGAGGTCCAGAGTTTTTTTTAAAAAAAAACATGATTTATTAAACTATGTATAATTGTGGAGAAATTGTTTATCAATCACAAATGTGAATAAATTAACTGGCATTTCAATTTGAAGATTAGCAGCAACTCTACAAAGAGCTTAGGAACATGTATGTGTTTGAATCTGGGTTTTACCAAAAGAATAAATGACAAAATATTATAAGGACACATTGTAAATCAGAATCTCCCAAAGTCTTACAGCTAATCCTCAATTACAGTAGCATTATATTTTTAGAATTGATTAGAGTTACAAAAAGCTTTCTGTATGGGAATCCATTTATAACACAGATCTGTTCCTCCTTTTAAATGAAGGTTCCCCCATTTGATTTCCCTACTGAAAAGCAGTCCTTCCAGAAAAAGCAACATTTCATTTGCCTGTACAACTTTCAAAATACTCTTTAAGCTGCAAAAGAGTCAGCACATATCATTTTGAAATCTCCCATTGGAGCACAAATATTTATGATTAGATTACTTTATGAAATTTAATAAGTTGGGCCTTACTTTGTTAGATTTCTCAGGATGTCTTCCATTTGACTGAAAGTTGGTGTAAATACCTACTCCCTAGAATCTATAATTCATTATTGATTACTTTCTGTTTCCCTAGCTCTCAATGCTAGTTTAGATTAGTTCTCACAGTGTGGCCTTCATTGCCACATTCCGTGAGAGCAGGCATCTTTGCTGATGTTATTAACAGTCCCAATCCTAATTACTACAACAAACAGTATGGGGCACAAAGTGCGTGTTCAGGGATCACATAATGAGTAACTCAGTGAAAAATGTATTTTCATTGTAGTCAATCTTTTGCTGATAAATTTGTGCCTACTTCATGAATTAATGCCCTATAAATCCTATCCACTCCAGTCATGTGAATATTCATATGTGAGCTCAGTCTACTTGATGACTATTCTAATTCATCAAAGCCAGCTAGGCCCTTGGCTCCCCATTCCCCAGTGCCATCGCGCTTGGGATCTTAGCTTGCACCACAGATAATTTTCTACAAATTACACCAAGCACTCATTAAAGACAAAGTATGTTTTATCTGTTTCTTTATATTATCAACACAAAATACCATGGTGTTTGGCTTTGGTGTTAGTCTTCAAATTAATTCTCATTGACCAAATCCGCGAAAATTATGTAAGGTAACAATTTTAGGTCTGTTAGGAGACAATGTTTGTTAACTTTTAAAACACCTATATGAAAAATATCTCTATGGTGAATTATTGAAGAGTTGAGATTTTTATTTTTAACTCTTTCTCATTTATTCTTTGGGATATTGTAAAAGTCTTCATGTTCTCCATTGGACTAGCAGGAAATTACAAGTCTTATTTAAATAGGATAGAAGCATACCTGAATCTTCCTTAAAGACATGCAGACGTGGATATTACTGGAATGCATGATTTCATCATTTTAATTCAGCACTTTCTGCTTTAAGCAAAAACAAACATGGAAAATATCACTAAATATCATCCTAGTTGCATAAATCACCATATTTGGAAAAAATAGGGAAAAGACATTTTGTATAACATGAAACATTCTAAGTAATATCTTTATTTACATGTCTAATCATATAGCAACAACAAGATAATTTATTTACATTACAAATTCAAGCTTCTCAGTGGAGTACAAATGTTAGCCATTTTATTAAGTTCAAACATACTTGGAGTTTGTCATTATTCCTTTCCTAAAATTTATTTACTTTGCATATGGAATGAACTAAATTTCTTCACCATGTGAATTTTCTCCTCTTTGAAAATATGCCACCTCCAGTGTAGTGAGACTTAGAGTTACATTTAGTTCATATTTTGATCTCTAACTTCACATAACTGCCTGTATTGATCCATTGTAATTATATTCTACAGATGAATTCCAAAAGTAGAAAAATCAATTACAGTTGTAATAGCCACATCTAAACATATTCTCACATTAAAGGAAGCTCTCATTGGAACCTATTGTGTGTGTGTAATTTGCACACAAACCAAAAGAGTTTAGCTGTAAGATTATTTGTGATAGAAATTTTACTTTCAAACTGTCTTCATTCTTTTGAGCTAGAATGTTTTATGTTCTTAATCAAACTGAAACCAGACACCTGTAAAGTGTTTACTCTAAAGCAAATGAAGCTGCACTTTCATTGGAATGATTGTTAGTCACACTACTCCAAGCAATATTTCCCAAATACTACTCTGTGTCTTACTTATTTTCTGATGTTGGAAGAACAGACTAAAGACTGTTACTCACCAAAGAAAAAGGCTTGTTTGCTTCTTGACTCTGGAGGAGGGAGCGTCCAAGGGCATGGCTGTGGGTCCTGGTGACAGATTCAGGATGCAAGCACTTGATAGGAGAGCAGGACAGCTGGAAAGAGGAAACACAAGCAGTGAGCCATGTGCACAGTCACTGATGCTTTCTGAAAGAAACAAGAGCTCACCTGCTAGCAAGGAAGGCATCAAATCTTCTCACAAACACCAGCAACTTTTCAAGGCCTTCTTTCCTAACGTGTCACAACAGCGCTCGAGTTGCTGAAGAAATGAACCATATTAACATGATAGCACAACCATCTCCTAGCTTTTCCTCTCCTGAGGGCCCGATCCCCTGGAGATGAGAAAGGAGTAAATATTGAGCTGGTGCCAGGGTATTCAATTGCAAGGATGGTAGGGGACAGAATGTCATGGATTATAAAGTGGCACTAGCATGGCAGCTCCCTAATACCACCATCTCCACTAAGTTCTCTGGAAACTAAGTTCTCTCCCTAATACCACCATCTCCACTAAGTTCACTCTTGAAAGTGAACATGCCACTTTCAAAGACAACACTGGCAATGCTAAGAAACAGAGGGGGCTTTTTCCTGAATATTCTGGATAAGGCAATTCAGAACTGCTTTCGGTAAATTTTACCACTAAACATATTCCATTTTAACATCTGTGCAAGTCTTACTCAATATGCAGTGAATTACTAGCCAGCTTTTTAAAGAGAAGAGATAATTTTTGCAAAACATGTCGGCTTGCTACAGAAAAAAAAATTGTGAAAAGTAAAAAAAGCACTAATCTGAATTTCTGTTGACAATTTTTAAAGATACCTTAACAAAAATTTCTTTAAAAAATTAATTTTAATTTATAGAAGGCAAATATTATGGTCATGTAGTTTTTGTCTTAATAAATAAGCCATATTTTCAGTGAGGTCTGTGATAACATTTTTATTTATATGACTAATATAACCAATATTTTGTATAAATTTATTCTATGGTATCAAGCAAAATGCTTGCTAGGTTAAATTATTGTAGACTTTTATAGTTGTTCCAGGTTTGACTTTATTCTTGGATAGAAATGCATCTAATACCCATTACAATAGTTCCAAAGAGAAAAATCAATCTTCTGACAATGAGGTAAGCCATGACAATTGCCTTAAACATGCTCCAATAAAAAGCAAGATTCACCTGTTGAATGCCCGCACCACATAGGAAAGGCCAGGAGGGTAATTTCCCAATGTCTGCATGGGCTAAATCAGTAGAGCGTCATGAGTCCTTACACAGATTCATTCTCTGGGTCAGAATAGGGGTTGTCATAGACCTCCAGGTGCTGGTGAGCAGCAGTGCTGAATATCTAGAAACAGGTCACTGCCCAGGAGTCCCTAAACAAAAGACTTGACAAATGTTAGGGTCCATAATCTGTGAGCTCCAGGGTACATTAGGAGAACTACCCGTTGGTGACCCCGTCTGTACGCTCACTTCTGATTTCTCTTTCTTTAGGGATGGTTCAGAGATAAATGGGCATGGGCTTACAAATAGAATCACACATTCAAAAAGTGCAATATACAAAAGACTCGCTTTTATGAAGATTAAAATATCTGATGTGAAGAGCAAACTATTTTGACCAAAAGGAGGTTCTTTTCCCATAAGGATGGGCGGTTTTAAAAGGGTGACACATGAATGTCCAATTTCTGGCCTGTAGCTCTTACAAAGATTAACATGAATAAATCCATCACAAAATTATGACTCAAGAATTTATACTCCATTCAAATTTGCCTCTGTAATTGATACCAACTTGTGTCCCTGCCCATCGTATCAACTTAATGGTGTCAGTCTATCCTTTTCCTGACAGTATGGGAATGTATAATTCATAAAATTTTGTGAAAGATGCGGGTTTTCAAGGAGCCAATGAAAGTGATTTTGAAGAACTGCTTGTTTTAAAAGCATAGAAAATGACAGTGAAAATGCAGCTGCTTTATTCTTGTTAGCAACTGAAGAAAAGACAATTAGCTCAAAAGCAAATGATGAAATATCAAATGACAAAGAAGGATTTGGGAAATGTTTACGAAGATTGCATTTGATTTTCAAACACGCTGCTATTAGTAATTATGCAAATTAAACAAGAAGTTAAAAACCCACCAGTATGTTCTGAAAGAAAAGTTTCAGATGTCTTATTTTTAAATTAATTTTCCTACTATCATCTTGAGAATTTGTTTTTCTTGTATTGTGGAAGGCAGAGAGGGAGATGCATACAGAGGAAACAGACAGACAGATGGTGAGTGGTCTTCTACCTGCTGCTTTACTCCCTAAGTGTATGCAATACCCAGGGCTGGGCAGGCTTAAGGTAGGAATACATAACATCCTGGCTGGGAGGCATCACCCATTGACTCCCAGGGTGTTCTTCAGCAGGAAGTTGGACATGGAAGTAGAGTCTGGATTGAATGCAGACATTTCTTATATGGCATATAGATTCCCATATAGCAATCTAACCACCATGCCAAATGCCTACTCTTATTATTTTTGATTGTTTTAAATGCTGAAAGAATGAAATCTACTGAGAGTTTTCTTATATCTGTTCTGATCCATTGAACATCGAGCATCTTTACTTACCAACTCGCTCTCCCTTATGGACTCTGTTCAGTTTCCTTATCCAGTGATGGAAAGCAATCTTTCTTATGAAGATGATGTGAGATTAGAAATGTAATTGGTAGCTTCAAAAGAACTAGGAGAAGCAAAAATGAACATGTTGAAAAACAAGTTTATTATATTTATTTGTAATTTTGTGAAACAATCAAAGTGTCTTGTGTCATCTGAATGGAATAAGACTGAATTTTTCAGTAGGTGGTAATATGGATTGAATATGGTAACTAAAAAGACTATGGCATAATCAGAGGAAAAAGAAACTGAAACATTTTGGAAATGATGGTGTAAATACTTAAATAGGGAGAAAGAAATAATGGTTAGAATAAATAGGCAAAATAATTTTAAATGTGCAAGGAAAAAAAAACAAACAATAAAATCCAATGGTCATATGACATTTGGCCAGATGTATCAATCATAATCTTTCGGTCTAATATTCTAACAATCGAATTATTTTAAAGGCTACGGCTCTATTTGAATCTCTCTCCTACCTTCCATGGATGCAGATCTAACCCCCAGCACTGACTGATTCATCTGATGAACAAGGATGGCCAGGCAAAGGCAACCACACACTCCCTCTCAGAATGTTCCATCAATGTTCAAAAAATCCCCACTGTGTTTAAAGCAAACCATGTATTGACATTGGCCTTAACCATGAGTGCAGCAGAGTTCCTCCTTTGATCGTACAACTGCTTCTGGGTTCTGGGAAGGTGATATAAAGGCCAGCTGTCTTAATTGTTCATTTATTCAAGAATAAATGAACTTTATAGTTAACACTTTTATCAGAATGTTGAGATTCATGATAGAGAAATGTTGCTTTTTTTCTTAATTAAAACCTTATGACAAGGTAGAAGGTAGAACAGATTATAGAACAGAATTTCAAAACTGGGAGCAACCCTCCAGAGCATGCCATGTCTTAATTTTCTGTCAGTATCAGACCTAAGGCCCAGAAAAGGAGTTTCAGCTCAGACAGAAACACTGCAGAGTGAAAAGGAAGACTCAAGGATTTGGAAGCCTAGACCCAAGCATTTAAATCATGACTTCACCATGCATTATTTTTTGAGTCTTTGGATTTATTTTCTAACCCCAAATGAACATATGCCACCATATCTGAATTTTGCTAAATTAAGCATGGACTTCAGTGTGTACTGGGGCAGTAATATCTAGCGTTCAGAATTACTGATAAAAATACAAAACACAACTAACTTATAAGCATTTTTTAAAATATTAGATGCTATTTTAGTTTGCCAGATAAAATTTCAAAAAAGCTACATTTCAGCTCTTTGCACTTTTAACAAAAATCACATAATCTAATATTTTTTAAAAAATCCATGTAGTAAAGGCTGAATTAGGCCTACACTTCTGCTTGACAAAAACAAACGATTCAGGAAATATCAAATACTGTACCTCTAGAATTCTAAAATTAAGAAATGCAGAGTTTGTTAACTCAGAAAATGTTTCTGAAAAAATCCTTCAGAAGCAATTTGGTTTATACGAGCTGATAGGACTCAATAATATCCATTAATCTTTACAAAGAATTTTGATGCCCTGAGGAATTCCACTATGCAAATGCTTTATATATCTCGACAATAAAATGCTGGACTTTCCGCTATTGTCTACAGCTACAATGTCAGGATATACTTGAGTAGCAGAATGATGGACTTGTATCTGTTTTTGAAGAACGGTACTGTTGTAATAACATAGGGAAAATCAGTAGGGGGAGAAGAAACGGAACTAGGTAGGAAAAAACTCTGATCCCATGGAACTGTAACATAAAAACTAAAAAATAGTGTAAAAAGAAGAAAGCACTGCTAAAGGTGTAAGTTTAATAAAATAATATGGATAACTCAACCAAAATTATTTTTATTCCAGCTAAATGTCATGTAAATAAAATCATAATTTAATTAATTTATTTTAGCCTTGAAAATTTCATACCTGGAATGAGGAGAAATGGGAACTGGGAAGAACCCGCCAGTTGGATGTAGGGTTTCACCTGTGATTAGTGGAAGTGCTGGGAATAAGACAGAGGTGATGGTTACATACAGCATTGTGAAGTTACCAGGTGCCATTGGACAAACACTGTAAAATTGCGTATTTTTGTGTGACTTTTATATAAATAAATAATTTTTTTTCAAATTTTTCACATGCATAAAAGGTTTAAAAATAGTAAAACAAATACATCAAGTCATGCATGGGAATTCTGTTAGAATTAAAGCACGTATTATCAAATCGAAGAGCAAGTTGTGTTTAAGTGTCTCTGAAATGTCAATGCATGCTTTTAAAAACACACACCAACATTTCTTCTAAATCTGGAAATTGCTAATGCTATGTTAAAGTCAACAGTATAAAAAGAGGTGTTTTCTACACATAGTTAGCAATTTATTCTCAAACTACAAAAAAAAAAAAAACGTCAGCAGAGGCTGACTGTGGCTCCTGTAACTTAATCTCACCGTTCTGGTGATCTCAAATCTCTCGAGTCTCACTTCATGGTTTATGATACAGTTACATCACAATTCCTCAATAAAATTACTGCTTTGTCACTAATCTCTCCCTATCAGTTATCCTGTAAGGAAGGAAGCTGGAAGGCACCACTGGAGAGAGGCAATGGCATGAATGATTGCATTCAGTCTCTTTCCACAACAATATCTCTAAGTCTGCAAGTGATAAATGGCACCCGAGTTATAAAGGAGCAACAAGGTCAGTAGCGCCAAGCAGCCCAGAGTTCAAAGAGAAGTCACCATTCTGACGGGTTCAAGAAAAGGCCACGTACTGCTGGCAAGCACCACTGGAGATAAATCCTTGGAGAAGCTGTACTGTAATTACAAAACAGTAATAGAAAAGTCTGTTATTGAAGAGCTAAAATGTTTGTCCAGGAAATCAACAAACAACAGTGATTACCCTAAAATCATTATTTTTCTGGAAAACATTGACTTTAATAACCATCTCGTGTCAGTCAATAATCCCGGAAGAAAATAGCATCAAAATGTTCAGTAATTCTTTGACACTGAAAATGGGCACCTGAATAATACTTTTCTTCCTGGTCTTCTCTTTTATAGTCTCTTCTATTTAACTATCAGAAATTTTTTTTAAAATGACAGAAAATAATGACTTCTCTAGCAATGTTTTATACCACCTTTAACACCTTTATAAATTCCTTTAAGCAAATTGCATAAAGATGTAATATTTTCTACAAACTAGGGTGTAAAAATCTTCCAATAAATCCCACAAAATAATAAAAGCTATTCACAAAATGTTAAAATGCAATCTATAAGGTGTCCTTCATATAGTAAAGATTCAACAATATTAAGATTCAACAATATTAAGAGTTCTTTCTAACTTGACAGTACTAGCAATGAGCTGGTTAGGGTTATAAACACTGCACTTTGGAAAGTCCTCCTATGTAGTTCTCTCAAATATGAGGTGTATTTGAAGATTATAAAAATGTATAGTATGGGGCCCGGCGCGGTGGCGCAAGTGGCTAAGTCCTCGCCTAGCACGCCCGGGATCCCATATGGGCGCCGGTTCTAATCCCGGCAGCCCCGCTTCCCTTCCAGCTCCCTGCCTATGGCCTGGGAAAGCAGTCGAGGACGGCCCAAAGCTTTGGGACCCTGCACCCGCGTGGGAGACCCTGAAGAGGCTCCTGGCTTCGGATCGGCATAGTATCGGCCCGTTGCGCTCACTTGGGGAGTGAATCATCGGACGGAAGATCTTCCTCTCTGTCTCTCCTCTCTGTATATCCGCCTTTCCAATGAAAAAATAATAAAAATAAATCTTTAAAAAAAAAATGTATAGTATGAAAAACAACTGTGCATGAATTTCAAATTTTCTGAGTACCAAATTAAATGTAACTAATTGCATTTTTTTCCACAAACCGTTGGAATGTCCTTCATAGATAATCAGTGTCAATAGCATCTGGAGTTTCCATTATATGTGCTATGGTTGTTATCCTTGGTTACTCTATAGACTTGTAAAAAATTTTAATATTCTTTGTTTCTTGGTTATTTGTGAATGAAGATAAAGACTCATTGGACCAAGTTGGAAATTTTGCTACCCATCCATGATGTGAAGTCAGAAAAGGATGCCACAGGAAAGACCACTACAACCTCCACTATTACTCAGAGAAATTTTATAACCAAAAACCCTTCAATCCATTCAATCCTAACTTGTCAATCCTGTGAATGTTTCAAGCACAAGTTGCTTGAAGTTACCATAACTTGGATATTTATTGCTCAGTTTAAGTGTTTATGAGCTAAGATGGGGAAAGTAATGGGTGAAGATTGCAAAGAGCATCCTCCAGTTCACACCACTTCGCAGGGGGAGTTATCAGCCTCCTGTGACAATAATGTAGACATCCCCCATTATGTTTGAGCAGCCACACAAAAGTACAATATTATACAATGCTTCTAAATGATTAACAGTCACATACTGAATTTTGTGATGTTTTTCCCTTATGCAATATACAATACAAAGGGTTAGAAAACTTCTCATAGCAGAAATAATGGTGTTTTAAGTTACGTTTTGTCTGTTCATGTGTGTAGTCAAGATGATGATACACAATTTTTAGAACAAGCACTCATAATGAGAAAAATAATCTGTACTCGGCTGTGTCATGAAAACATAATCAGGACTTAGCTGTATTTAACAATAAGTACTTTTATATAGTGATTTTTCATCAACTCGATTACTCTGAAATGTCTTCAAATTAAATCTGAAGACTGGTTTCCCCTGTTATGTTGTATGAGTGCCTTTCTATCACATTGCAACTCGCCTGGAAAGCACATCTCAAATTGCTTTTGTGAAAAGCCTCAAAGAATCAAATCTGAACTCCTCACATCTTCCTTGAGTGGTTTTGTTTTCAAATAAGAGTGGCTTTGTTTTCAAATTGTCTCCTCTAGATAGACTCACCTTGAAAACAATGTTCCAGTAGTTGCATAATTTAAAAGTCTAGAATTTGAAAGTGAGATGTATTAAATGGAGAATAAAAACATAGGAGGGTCAGCAGAAAGTCACATACATCCAAATGCATGTGAAAATTATGAAAAGTAGTGTTTAGATGGGTGAGTAAGTGCCATAGAAAACATAATTGTTGGGCCCTGCACGATAGCAAAGTGGTTAAAGTCCTTGCCTTGCAAGTGCTAGGATGCCATATGGTTACCAGTTCTAATCCCAGCGGCCCTGCTTCCCATCCAGCTCCCTGCTTGTGGCCTGGGAAAGCAGTTGAGGATGGCCCAAAGCCTGCACCTGTGCGGGAGACCCGGAAGAGCTCCTGGCTCCTGGCTTCAGCTCCAGCCGTTGCAGTCACTTGGGGGGTGGAAGATCGGATGGAAGATCTTGCTCTGTCTGTCCTCCTCTCTGTATATTTGCCTTTCCAATAAAAAATAAAATAAAAAAAATAAAAACAAATAATATAAAAAATCTAAGAAAAAAGAAAATATAATTGTTGAAATGTTCTCAGTATTTGACACTGGAGAAAAATTATGGCTTGATACAAGTTCTTCTACAACCACTTCAAAGACTATCTACATTCTTACTTGTGCTGGAATGCTCTAATTATTATGGCAAGAAAAGCCAAGTTGCAGGATCATTAATCACCTTCTTGCTCAGAATGAGAATGAAACAAAGGAAACCTCAAATGCCCTAGGGCTTGTCTTGGCTTCCTCTCTTCAATTTGGGCAAGTTCCTTCATGAAGATGCCAAATGTAGGATTAATCATCGTTTCTTTATGCAATAAAGTACTCCTGCTCAGCTCTCACTTATTTGCCTTCCTCCTTCGCGCTGAGCTCCAGCAGACCTCTAGACCCTTCCTCAGTCAAGGGTGATGGCCCAGTGTCTCCTCTGGGCCTTTCTAAGCCAGAAGCCTTAGCTTCCGTTGAGGTGGGGAGAAATCACATAGAGATCAACTGGACAAAATCATTTAATTTAATGAAAGCTAGTGTTGTAATGAGGACGTTAAAGCATAGGCATTGTTGGCAATTGGCTGGAGCCAAGAGACTGTTTTTTCAAACCTGTGGTTGATTTTATTGCTATTGTAATGGTTTTTGCCATAATGATATTTAATGCATTACCAGGAAAAAGATATGCCCTGTGGTAGGGCACTGCTTATATTTCGATACATGTTAGCATGAAGCTACAGCTAGATCTAATAATAGAAATGAACTTATCTAAAGATGCATTGATTTTTATATTATGTCACATTGAGAATTTAAAAGAACATCTAGTCCACGAAATAAAAATCCTCTTGAGAACAACACTGATTGCAATGATAAATTTAGAAGAATGGAAATCCTCCCCTCCCGGAACGGTGTACATTTGTATAATGGATTAAGTGCACTACATAGTTTAGAAAAGATCATCTTGTAGATGAATGATAAACCTGATGAATTTCAGCAGATTTAATCATCTCATGAGATTTGATCAAAACAATGGAGTAAGAAATAGATGCAAGAAAATATCCATCTCACCTATATCATTTGCTTGATCAACATGGAAGCCATTCAGTCTAATCTCTGAAAAGAAAAACATTATTTCCATTATTTTCATTATTATTTGCCTATTCAAATAATATTCCATAATGTAACCCTATCAATTTCCTACATACTCCAATCATTAGTTGTTTCAGAGATCATAAAATTTCTCTTTGACAAAACACCTGGTAAGAGAAAGGATAGAGCAAGACAAAATTCTTCATATTATTATTTATGTTTTAATCTTTATTTGAAAGGCAGATTCACAGAGAGAAGGAGAGACAGAGAAAAACGTCTGATCCACTGGTTCACTCTCCAAATAGCCACAACTGTAGGCACTGAGATGATCTGAAACCAAGAGCCAGGAGCTTTTCCCCAGTATCGCATCCTCCATTGTTTTTCCAGGCGAGAGGATGGGGGTTGCATCAGAAGTGAAGCAGCCAGGAACCAAACAGGTGCCCATATATGAGGCTGGCACTAACAGGTACAGGATTAGCCTGTTGAGCAATCGCACCAGCCCCAGAATCTTTATATTCTTAAAGAAGCCTGGCCATCTTCCCTGTGACAGAAGAGAATGAAGAGGCAGGGGGTTGCTTTGTCATGAGCAGTTTTAGAGTTTTAGAGTTAAAAGCAGCATGCATCTAAAAACGTTATGGGCAGCGAGAACACTAAGAAGCTTTGCTAACAGTTTTCTTCAGAGCAGTGTGTTTTAATGCATCTTTGCATTTTCGTCATAATACTGTTCATAGTTTCTTTACATTCCTAAAGCATTGTATTTGGAAATACTAGGGTTACAGTCCTTCATTCCCTTGAGGTCAGTGTCTCTTGCACATTTTCTTTATCACAGAGAATGTTCTGGGCCTGTGTATTCTCATACATTAAAGTGGTGTAAGATTTGGCACCCCTTTTTCTGCTGCTCACTTTTGAATGGCTTTCTGTGTCCTTTACAACAGGCTGAGCGCTGCCAGCTTTTCCACCTCTGTGGCTCTAAAGCTCCTTCCCTTGCTATTGATACAAAGTGAACCAGGAGCACTGAATCCTACTCTCTGAAACCTGTTTCCTATTCATCCCTTCCTTACTTTGTCTCCATCAAAAGAGGAAACACAGGAGCAACATGAACCTCAGGCCTGTTTTACTGTTGCCCTCAAAGTAACAATATGTTTTAAATTCATACATTGTTAGAGAAAAATGGGAAGTAAAGAAGGTAGGAAACAAGAAAGAAGAAACACAGGCAGCCTGAGGTCCCCATAAGTTTTTCTCTTTGCAGGAAAGTTTGCCACTTCCTGGACCAACAACTTCCTTCAAGCTTTCTGTCACCATCTTGCCCAGTTTTGATTGATCTCCTAGAAGTGTCTCTTACTTAAAAACTTGACCTAAAAGAATTTCTTCCATTCTAAAGTGTCCAGATATTACTGTGGCCTCCATATCAGATATGAAAAACTTGCAGGTATATCCACTGTCTTCAGTTTGCCACACTTGCTAGTAGCTTTCTTTCTCTGTATTTGTGGAAACAGAAAGAATCAAATTTAGGCTGTTGCCTCCATCTACCCAAAAGTTCATATAGAATTCCTTTCTTTTAACTGAATGTTGAAGAGGACCTGGAAAGATAAGAAACATTTCTGCATTTTCTCCATGACAATAATGTGATTTTGTTTCTTTTAAATAGGACCAAGTAGCATTCAGTATAGGCTGACTACCATGATATATTGTTTCTTTCTGTTTTTAACTCTAAATATCTAGCTACTTTTTACGTATGATAATAAAATATATCAAATAATTAAAAGCCAATTTAAAAACAAACATATGAAAAATTAAACTCTCATCAAAAATAGAATGCTTTCACTATTCCAGTTTTATTTATGTTTTAATTTAAAATTTAGGGAGTTTAACACTTGTACTCTGCTTTACTTAATCACTTCTCAAGGATGAAATACAACAAGTCTTCAGAATTACACTTACTCCACAGGAATGATGGAGTTTCTTATTTTGAAGTAATCCTTCCATATGTAAGTTCAGTTCTTGTGATGCTTTTATCCTGATGACAAGTTCAAGTCCCAGCTACTGCACTTCTGATCCAGCTCCCAACTCATGCTAATGGAAAACAATGAAAGTTGACCCCTGACACTCACATGACAGACACAAATGGAATTCTGGCTTCTTTCTATCTGTCTCTACCTCTCTCTATATACATATATATATATATACATATATAATATTTGTGTATGTGTGTGAATAACTATTTTTCAAATACATAAATATTTTTAAATAAATTATAGAAGATACACAGAAAAGCAAATACCTCCCTATAAATATTGGGCCTGGTGCAATACCCTGGTGACTAAATCCTTGCCTTGCATCTCCCAGGATCTCATATAGCTGCCAGTTCACATCCTGGCTGCTCCACTTCCCATCCAGCTCCCTTCTTGTGGCCTCAGAAAGCAGTAGAAGATGGCCCAAAGCTTTTGGACATCACACCTGTGTGGGAGATATGGAAGAGGTCCCTGGCTCCTGGCTTCTGTCTTCAGATTGGCTTAGCTCTGGCCATTGTGGCCATTTGCAGAGTGAACCAGCACACAGAAGATCTTTCTCTCTGTTTCTCCTTCTCTCTTTATATATCTACCTTTCCAATAGGATTTATTTATTTATTTAGAATAAATAGTATTGAAATATCCTTACTACCAAAACCCATCTATAGATGCATGCAATGCAATCCCACAAAATATTAGTAGCATTCTTCCCATAACTAAGGAAGAATGTTATGAAATTCATGTGGAAACACAAAAAACTTCTGAGTATCCAAAGCAGTCTTATGCAAAAGCAACAAAGCCAGAGGTTTCACTCACAATACCTGATTTCAAGACACACTATACAGCAATCATAAGAAAAACAGAATGATACTAACAGAAAGCTAACACACCAACCAGTAGAACACAACAGAAATAAGACTACATGTTTGCAGCCAACTGATTTCACAGCAAAAGGGACCAAAAAGATGCAGAAGAGAAGTGATAGCTGCTTAAACATGTGGTGTCACAAAATTACAGATAGCAGATTCAAAGAACACCCTTCTATCTTACTCTTCACCCGATTCAAAAAGTAAAACAAAGTCCTAAATGTAAAACCAAAAACTATTACACTACTAGAGCAACACCTAGTGAAAAAATTGTTTGGGCCATGGGAATGTTTTGATTGAAAAAACATAGTTAACACCAAAACTAGACAAGTGTAATTATTCCAAACTATGAAACTTCTGCACAGCAATGGGAAGAAACGACTGACACAATGGAAGCAAATGCTTGTGAGATGTCCATCTGAGAACTGATCAATACCCAAAATATATAAGGTGCTAGGATAACTCAGTAAAAATATAGTTAGGTAGCTGGAAAATTATAAGACAAGACACTTCTTGAAAGCAAGAAATTGCAATGGCCAACAAATCCATTTGTTCCTCTACGTCATCCACTATGGAAATACATATCCAATCAAATCGTATATCATGGGATACATCTTTGAATGGCTATTATCAAAATGTTAAATATAACAAATGAGAATGACAATATATAGAAAAAGAAACTTACATATGCTATTGGTGAGAATGTAAATTATTACAGTAGTTATAAGATATGGTATGGTAAACTGAAAATCAGAAACATATCTATGACATGGTACAGCTTCACCACTTCCAAGCACACATTTAAGGAAATGAAATCAGCATATGAAAGAGATCTCTACATTCCCATGTTTATTTCTGATGTATTCATATTATCTAAGATGTGAAATCATGCTAGCTGTCCATCAGGAGATAAACAGACACTGGTAACATACATACCCAGGGAGGTACTATTCAACACCATAAAATCATAAAAATAGATGAAACTGGAGGATATTATAATAAGTAACATAAGTCAAGCCCTAAAGACAAATAGCAAGCATTTTCCCTCATGTGATAAATGAGTACTGGAAGTTGGAAAGGATACGGGCAACGGAAGAGGGCAGCTGGGTAATACTTGCCAAATACAGTGGGATGTCCATGAGTCATAATAATCCATGATGTAGTGGTACTTCAGTACAGTCACAGAAAAGTGGAATTACAAGTATCATTTTATTTTGGTGCAAAAAACAATTCTGGAATCAGAATTTTCCCCCATACAATGAAAAAGAAATTTTCCATCAAAAATATTTTCTGTACCAATGTACCCTTATTTTAATTTCATTTTCCACAATCTTTTGAAGTACCCTCATCTACTTTATGAATAAGCAGCAGAGGGGAGTTCAAATGCCCCAAATAAAAAATAATATCAAGAAAGTGGATTTATACTGATTTGATCAGTACAATAATATTTGATAAAAAACACAAGTGTGAAAATATCATGCTATCCTGGATAAATACATACAATAATTGTCACTGAATAAAACATTTTATGATTAAAAATAAACACAATAGCTAACCTGGTTTGATAATTAGACATTGCTTAAATGTAACTGATTACCACACTTACTTGGTCCTGTTCTGGCCTTCTAAACTATTTGGGGAATCAACTAGTAGATGGAAGATATTCCTCTCTGTGTGTTTCTCATTCTCTTTCGCTGCAATTCTGATTTTCAAGCAAAATAAATAAAATAAAATAAATTTGAAAAAGAACAAAGAACAACACCTATTTTTGACCTCCAAGATCGCATAATTTTTAAAAAAGATTTATTGATTTTTATTGCAAAGTCAGATATACATAGAGGAGGAGAGACAGAGAGGAAGATCTTCTATCCGATGATTCGCTCCCAGGAGGTCGCAGCAGCCAGAGCAGAGCCAATCCGAAGCCAACAGCAGGAGCTTCTTCTGAGTCTCCCATACGGGTGCAGGGTCCCAAGGCTCTGGGCCATCCTACTGCTTTCTCAGGGCCCAAGCATGGAACTGGATGGGAAATGGAGTTTCTGGGATTAGTACCGGCACCCATATGGAATCCCAGCATGTTCAAGGCAAAATATAGAGGACAAATTTATATGACAACATTTAGCAATATGTTGAATAACATTGATGAGCTTAACTTTAGACAATACTTATCACTCTGATTATGATGTGATTATGATAGCTTTCATAATTCTAATCATTACTTATAATCATAGTATTTTTACAGTGAACTGATGTTGACACTTTAATGAAAATATTATATCTACCTATGACATCTATTTGTCCATATGAAGGATAAATTACAACTGGATTTGCTAGGAAACTATATGTCTGAGGGAGAGGTTTATCACACTAAAAGCCCTCAGGAAGCTGAGTGACGTGCTCAGGCCCCAGTCCCTGAAGATGGATGAATCAGGGAACATGTCTTGAACACATGTGTAGGCTGTTATAAGACAACCAAATGGACAATGCATTTTCCAAGCAAGTATATAATAAAATGTAGAGCAAAATCACTGTATTTCCACGTACAATACAGACTTATGAATTTTCCCTGACTCATAAAAGAAAAGATAGTAAAGGACCAGTAATATCTTGAAAGCATTCTTTTGGTAAGTGAAGTTTATATTCTTTCACCCAGACTGTAGAGTACAAGTTGGTTGAACTAATTCAAAGCAAAAAAAAATCATGTCTATGTTTATAATATTGCTGACGGGGCTTAATGAGAAAGGGACAGAGTTACTAATAACCTGAATTGTGGGAATTAGCTATCCTTTCAAGCCACAAGTTTATATTCCTTGGTAATTTTGCTAAACTTCCTCTGAGGTTGCCATGTTAGAATGTGGGTAAAATGGTATTGTTGGGCAGTGTGAGCTTCCTCTGTGTGGAGAAAACTGCTACTTTGCTAGGCCAGGAGGCGCCTGGACTTAGGGAGGATTCTGCTTTAGTGATAAATCTGTTCTTTGCTGTCCTGCAACTTTGTGAACCCAGGTGCAAGTGGGGGGGTGGGGCAAAGGCGCAATTTTTCTCTGGTCCCAGGCACAGGATAAGCGTGTGAGAATGGGATGAGCCATACAGATAATGGGTATGGGAACAGAACAGGCTGCCTGTGCCTGAAGGCCATAAAAATGAACATGTCTAAGGTTGTTAATTTCTATGTATTTCCCAGCCCAAAAGGGCCTATATAAGCTTTTGTCTTGGGCTGTTCAGGGTCCGACAGCCCTGCGTGCCCCAAGTGTGGTCCGACCCTAGCCTGCTGGCACAATAAACTCTGCTTGCTGTTTGCATTACCAGTGGGACTGTCGTTCTCTGGGGGTTGACTAGCTCGCACCCTGACGTCTGGGGGCTTTAGCCTGGACTATAACAGCCATACTGTTAAAAAAAAAAGGAACAATTTTGGGCATACTGACTTTTTAAGATGGTTCACTATTCAGCAAAATACTAACTTTTCATCGGAAAGAAGATCTTCATCTCTGTCTATGCTGTCTGTATATCTGACTTTCCAATAAAAATAAATTTATTTTAAAAATAAGATGGTATTCAGTAAAATATAATACTACACGAGAGTTGTATCTGAGAAGAGACTGATAATAAACAATCTTCTGGTTAAAATACAATGACAGGCACAAGTATTTGGTCTAGTGACTAAGGCACCCCTTGGATTACCTTAGACATCCCCAGCTCTGGCTCTTGACTCCAGCTTTCTGCTATATAGACCCTAGGGGGAAACTAGGGGTGGTTCAAACTGTTGAGTTACTGCCATACACATATGAAATTGATTTTGGGGTTTGGGCTGCTGCAACTCCGGATGTTGAAGTCATTCATGGAATGAACCAGCAGATGGGAGGACTTGCTCTCTCTCTTTCTGTATCTCTGCCTCTGAAATAATAAGTTAAAATGAAATGAGAAATTACATTCACACTTCCTTCCGTGATGTGAAAATGAAAAGCAGAAAACCCTACAAATATTCAATTTCAAAGTGTAAAATAGTGATTCATATAAATTGTCCATGTTATGACATTAGGAATTTTATTTCACAAAAGCTAGTTCTTGAGTGCTTAAGATGACAAAGCTACCCAGCTTTTTAGCAGATTGCTTCCATTTGCATGCAGAATAGAGCAATCGGGCATCAGACAGGCACCTGACAACGGTTCACCAAAAAACAACGTGAAGAGAAATGC